AAGGAAAGTAAAAGAGGGATAAACAGGAAAAAAGTGGAGCATTTCAAAAATAAAACACACCTATTAAATATGTTTTAAAGATTTTTTACCAGGATCGGTTTTGTGTGTTTTATTTCTACTTATAATGACTGTGCAACAAGATCCTCTAGGGCCTGGAAGCTATAAGGATTGGGGGTGGGGTATCATCAGACTAAATCTTAGCAAAACAGAGTTTCTAGTCATCTGGGCAATCTTGTAATGTCAGTTATCATTATTGAATCCTTCAACATTCTATGGTTGAGGCCTTTGATTCATTAACATTGTTTATATTTGTGCAAATCTTGAAGTCATCCATACCCACTGAGTATTGGTAGTGGTTTGTTCAAGCCTGTTGTTTAGTTTCCAAACGTTTCATCACCAGGCTAGGTAACATCATCAGTGAAACTTTGGTTGAAGAGTCTTGTTTCAGTTCTCCTCTGTTTTTATAGGTCTTATGTGGTCAGTTGGTCATGTCATGTGAGGATCATTTGGTTGTGAGATCACCCTGGCTGGTCATGCCGTGAGGGACCAACTGACCACATAAGACTTATAAAAGCAGAAGAGAACTGAAACAAGACACTTCAACTGAAGTTCCGCTGATGATGCTACCTAACCTGGTGAAACATTTGGAAACTAAACAACAAGCTCGGAGAACAAACCACCACCAATATCTATCACCTGAGCTACAAATATTTTTCACCATACCCACTGATCTTGTGTACTGAACTTTAAATATTGGCAAAAAACATATAGAATTTATTAGGTATAAAATTTAGTTTGCTATTTATGCATATGATGCTAAAACTAAATATAAAGTTTATATTTCAACCCTCCAATTCACTGCTTCATTGCTGTAAGTACATAGTGAATCTGGGACAGATTTCAGACAAAATAAAATGAATGGATAAAGCCTAAGACATATCATCAGGAGAAGAGAATTGCATTAATGTTTAGTATTTGGGTAGAATGGGGTTAGCAAATGGAATTCAAGTTGTTCTCAAACACTGTGCAGCACATCACAAAATCCTCAATACAGGCAAAGGTGAAAGGTCACAACATACAGCAATTCCAAGCATTCCAGACAAATGCCAAAGCATCCCTCCCCTCTAAGCTGCTACTCTTCATGCAAAGCCAGGAGAGGTGGGAGAAGTATAAAGCAGAGCAGGAAACAGAGGAGTTGGGCAGTGCTCCAACTGGCAAAATCATGCAGGTGAAAGAGCATGAGCAGAATATCAAATCAGCCTGTCCTGTCCAGTTTTCAGTAGAGACAAACAAGCAAGTGACTTGAAGGAACAGGAAGAAAGAAACAATTCTAGCAGTATAAGCCCTGACATCTCAAAGTCCCAAGAGCTCTCCTGAAAACTGAACTGGGAAGACTGGTACAGCTCTCAGTTACTCACACTCAGGGGTGCCCAACCTTTTTGAGACATGAATACACTTAAAATGTTAAGAGCATATTATAGGCAGTTTCACAAAACCTTTACCATAGTGTGCTGTCAATCATAAAGCACCAATATACCAAAAAGAAAACAAAGCACTGACCCGCACACACCCATCATTTTATTTTCTAAGCTGCTTCTAGTATTGTAAATACAGAACATGCTTAAGGCTGGTATTGATTTCCCTTCCACACAGATCTTACAGCCAGCAAAATCTTCCAGAATGGATCTCATATGATTTATTCCTTCCTAAGCTCACTGTTCTGAGCATGATCCACTAAGGCAGGGGTGCCAAACTGCTGGCCCACGGGCCGAATGCGTCACCAAGAAACCGTGCCCACCCCATTGCCGGCAATGAGAAAAAAGCTCTGATACGTCATGTGACATCACATGACATCACGAGTTTGACATGTCTGCACTAAGGACTTTTCCTTCTGGTCCAACTTTATTTTTTAAATGTTACTACAAAGTAAAATAAAGAGTAAAGATGAGCTTGATGCAAGTTCAACTTTTGTTGACTACATAGGTCCAACCAAGCAGTTTTTTGGCTATAATAAGAAATTCTATATTAACTCAAATTCTTGTGCTGGTACTTGCCTGTCTGCTTCTCCCTTCCTCTCTCCCTGTTTAATTCCATTAGGAGGAATAAGAAAGGCCAAGTTAAGAGGTAGAGCAGACAGGAAAGATGGTTGTCCTTTTCTATGTGTAGTTTAAAAATAAAAAAGGAAGACCAGGGGAAGTTGGGCAGGGGATTGGAGAAATTATTGCCAAGGCATACAGACAACAGGTAGTGCCATTTCTGCAACACGGAGTAATATTAACATTAAACATCCCATAATGTCACACAGTGATCACTATAGTGATCCCTTCACAACAAATAGTTGATGGCAATGACAGAAATAATCGGATGATGCCATCGGTTATCCAGAATAATTGGCCCGTGCCTGTTCTGCTCTTTGGTAAATATTGGAGAATTTTGTTCTTTTAAAACAATTACTAGGCATATAGGAATATATAGTTATAATTAAACATATATTCTTGAAAACTAGCTTAGTTCAAGGTTTATGCCACAACCAGTGTAACAATTAAGTAAGTGTAATTACAAAATATGGAACCTACTGATCTGGACACTATCTAGAAAGATGTTCACAATTTCATGGATGTTTAGATTTGTCCCACTGAAATATGCAAAACAAATTCCAGTAACTATTTATACCCATTTTAAATAAAAAAGATAGTATTACTTTTTTGTTTAAAAGAAATATTTGCATATTTTGAAGCAGCATACAAACTTAAAATAGCAGAAATAACATGAAAGTGAACTTTCATTGTGATGTTTATGGATCAGCAGAATCAAGCACAAAATCCAGTGGCTTAATTTGTTTTCTATCTTAAAACAATCTAATTATATATATAGCAAATGAAACTTTGAAGCAGTCTTTGAAGAAAAAGTCAAAGGACTGGAACAGCAAATGACCAAATTCATATGATTAGAGGCTACAAGTATTTATCAGTTCAAGGAAAGAAGATTAATTCCTAGTTGAAGAAATGAAATCCTCCTACACATTGGGAAAAGTAATTAAGAATGCTGTAGTCACATGTATACAATATCTTGGACTTAAAAAATGTTTTTCCTTTGAATTAGTTTACATTTCCTAAGTTAGATGAATTTCATCCTAGGATACTGAAACAATTCACTGATGGTTTGATTGATTTTTTATGTGCCATCTTTGAAAAATCTTGAGACCAGTGGTGAAGTGTCAGAGAACTAGAAAAGACAAATGTTCCCATTTTTAAAGGAAAATAAAGGAAGATCCAGCAAGATCTAAAAAATTACAGTCAACTTAATATTAGTACTTGGATTATTTTATTTTTTTCATTGGTGACTTTATGGAGTTTGGTTCTGTTCCCTGCCGTTTGCCTCCACAACACTTCACATAATATAAAACTCATAGTAACAGAGAGGACCATACCAAAGTTTTAAACACTTGATTTGCTACATATTAAAAAATATTAAGCTATTAAATTTCCTACTTTAATTCTTTTACCTCTGTGATACCAGTCCCTGTCCTTTCTGCCTCTTATCTAAAGAAGGAATTTAGAGCAACTAAGACAGAAATATGTGTCATTTCTATTATTTTCTTCGTAAGCACATGATAAGAGCAGAAGTGATCTAGATACCAGTAATACATGTCTGTACAGAACAAATATCTTCTGTCAACAATACTTTATTTCCAGTCTTCTAAAAAACATAGCAACCTTCCTTCAACACTGATAGGAATCTACCACTATGATATAGAAGTGCAGACCTGCACTTCTTTATAATACAGATTAAAAGCCCTCTAAGGCTTCTCCAAAACCTGCTTTCTCAAAATGTGGCAGCAATGTATAATCTTCCCCTACTAATTCATCCCTCTACCCATCTCCTATTTTTCTCTGCCCCAAATTCTTATGGTAAACTCCTTCAGGCAGAGACAAGCAGCTTATGATTATTTTGTAAATGAATCATGCCCACCAATCATGTTGAGATGCCAACAATGACATACTAATAATTAAATCTATTATTAATATACATTTTATACATGGCATAGAAATGAGCTCTATACTAACCTACAGTCTAGGGCAGTGGCCCCCAACCTTTTGGGAACCAGGGACCAGTTCTGTGGAGAGAGGTTTTTCCACGGACCAGAGGGGGTGTGGTTTTGCATGCTGACTGTATCCCGCAGATGGGGCTTCACTTGTTTGGGCAGCCCGGTTTCTGGCATACTGTGGCCCAGTGCCAATCTACAGACAAGAGGTTGTGAACCCCTGGTCTAGGGAGCTCATTCTGCCCAGGGCTGGTCTTTTGTCACTCTTATACCACAGATTAGCTAAAAAGTAGGTAGTAGGGGGAATGCCCTGTGCCAGAGCTGCTAGTAGCACGGTAAAGAAACAACTATGATTACCCCTTCCCTGACCATGCAACTGCTTTAACTGTTGTCTTCTATGTTTCCTCTCAGCAAACCCATCTCTTCATCGATTTCCCCCCCTTCCCAGTTTGTCAAATGCTGACTGACCTTTACAAGCCATGCAGAATAGCCAGTGTGGCTCTGACTTTCCAAGGATAACTGCAATGTGCTTCCAGATTTTCAAAAGATATTATCTCTGACTGAAATGAAAGAAAATCTGCTGTGTGTGTGTGCATGCATGCATATATACCTATCCAGAGAGCAAGAGAGCAGGCCCACTGACAATACATGAATCCTCCAAGGCATTCAAAACTGATCACACCAGTGTTAATTCAGTGCATTCGATATTCTACCTATAGGATCTTGTTTACTGACAAGAGATACTAATTTACTCTCCTCCCAAATAAAGCCAGATTTGGAGGAATTTACAGGATGGAGAATATTCAGAATGCAATGATAATACTGCAAATACCCAGTATTTAATTGAAAAGTGCACACATTTGAATGACAGAAATAATGAACAGGGTAACCCAATCTTTCTTTGAGATGTTTCAGAGATCTATAAACAAGCTGGAATAATATTGCCATCACTTACCCGGATGCGTCTCATAGCAGTCACAATCTCTACCCTGCTGTTTGGCCGAGGTACATCTAAGCTGCCAATATACTGAAGGAGGAGAAAGAGTAGAAGGGTTAGAGCAGAATATCAGAGTACCAAAGTATTCTAAACAGGGCTGGATGGCTAAAATTGGTTTGGCAAGAAAATATTTATTGCTACTCCTCTTTGTACCCAGAAAATACATACACCAGTTTTCCCCAACCTGGTATCCTCCAGACACATGCATCTGTGGAGTGAAGGTGGGGACAACAGGATGCATGCTGCAAACTTTGCAAGTCGTATAGTTGTACCTGAAATCTGGATATAAGTATGTAAGGATAGGGTTTGTACAGTGATAAAACTATGCATAGGTGGCTTGCTGTGGATATTGGTGCTTCACCACTGTATCTGTATTCTCAATGTATCTGCAAAAAGACAGGTTGCGGTGGAAAAGGGATACCTATTCACTGAAGAAGCCCTGGCATCCAACCCCCTGCCCAGGGCAGGTATCTCCATACCTTTTTAGACAAATGATTATCCAATTTTTTCTTGGAAACCATCAGTGAAGGAGCACTGAAACTCTGGGAGGCAAGCTATTTTCACCATCATGAAATTCCTCCTTTGTTGCAATATTCTATACAATGTATCAGTGCTTATCGCTAAGCACTTTCTCAAACAAAAGCTAGCCTACGTGACCAACAGCTATGTCACGTATGCCTAAGGTGACTTCCTCATTTCCTAAAGGGCACAAAAAAGACCGTATATGGTAGTAAGGAAATGCTCCCTTCCTCCTGAGATGTAACCACTCCCATACCTGCTAT